CCGCGAGCGGCCGGCCGGTCACCAGTGCGGTTTTGGAGTTGGATCCGTCTACCCCTCGCCCCCTCAGATCAGCCGTTTGCAGGAAAATGGTTTTATTCTGGGGCTGGGAGCTGGGGCAAGGGGTGCAGGCCTGGGTAGTGGAATGTGAAGAACGGTCAGCCCTCTTTTTTCTCCCTTTTTCTTTTTTTCCTGAAACAAAAACGAAAGTCCCTTCCTAGGGGCTGGCCTGGAGGAGCTTGGAGGCGGGGGCGGACTGACACCCGGGCGCAGAGTTGAGAAGAGCCACCTCCCCACAGTCTGCAAGGCCTTGAACCTGCTGCCCTCCCCCTCGGCTCAGTGAGTCTGTGTCGTCGGGGTGGGGGTGGGGGGACACTACAGCGTCTCTCCTGGGCCCGCCACACCCCTGGGCCCATGCCAGCGGCCCTGGAGGGGTCCAGGAGGCGGCCCTGAGGCCCGTCCAGCTTGGGCAGCCTGGGCGCTGATGCTTGTTGGTCCTCGGGACCTCCTGGGGGCTTCCCTCCCTCCACCCCAGCCCCATCTTTGGATCAGGAAGGGGAGGGGACGGGAAGGCTGAGGAGGGACAGCTGCCACCCCGGTGTCCCTGACTACGTCCGGGGCTGAGGCCTCCGCGTGCGCTTGGTCCGGCGGGTGGGGGCCGAGCCCACGAACTCGAACTGCTTCTGCCTCTCGACCTGGTTGGGGAAGGGCAGCTGGCCCTCGTACAGGCGCTTGATGAAGTGGGCCTCCCGCTGGTTCTGGCGGCTTCGGGAGGCCTGGCGCGGCCGGCCCTGCCGCGTGAAGGCCATGAACCAGCCCTCGTGCCGGGCGTTCTGGAAGGCCGTGTAGTTGTTCTCCAGCACAATCTCCGTGAACACGCAGTCTTTGCTTTTCCCGCTGGGCTGCCAGGGAAAGAAGGAGAGGAGGGAAGTTTGTCCACCCACCCTTCCCGGTGGCTCTGCCTCCGGGGCCTCTTTTAAGACCGTGGAGGGCTGGGCACCCCAGGGTTTCTGCCTGGTGAGGGGGTGCCCTGGCGGCTTGAGGCCTGGCGCGGCCGGCCCTGCCGCGTGAAGGCCATGAACCAGCCCTCGTGCCGGGCGTTCTGGAAGGCCGTGTAGTTGTTCTCCAGCACAATCTCCGTGAACACGCAGTCTTTGCTTTTCCCGCTGGGCTGCCAGGGAAAGAAGGAGAAGAGGGAAGGTTGTCCATCCACCCTTCCCGGCGGCTCTGCCTCCGGGGCCTCTTTTAAGACCGTGGAGGGCTGGGCACCCCAGGGTTTCTGCCTGGTGAGGGGGTGCCCTGGCTGGGGAGGCAGCTCGGGGAGAGAGGGACAGGCTATGCTTGGAGTCAGACCTGCACTTAAAGGCAGGCTTGTCGTTTGGAAGTTGTGCACCTCCAGCCAGGCATTCAGCCAGCGGAGCTTCAGTTTACCAGGATGAGACGTAAAGATCTAGGGCAGTGGTTCTCGACCTTCCTAATGCCGCGACCCTTTAATACAGTTCCACATGTTGTGGTGACCCCCAATTTCATTGTTACAAATTGAACATAATGAAAGCATAGTGATTACTCACAAAAACAATATGTAATTATATATGTGTTTTCCGATGGTCTTAGGCGACCTCGACCCCCAAAGGGGTCGCGACCCACAGGTTGAGAACCGCTGATCTAGGGGATTGTGTGGTTTCCTGCTTAACCAGTGGGCAGCCCTCGGTGGGGGGATGGCGTTGCTGGGTGGAGGGGAAGGAGGCACCGTGCTCTGATGAAAAGAAGGGGCAAACATTTATGGACACCAACTGTGTTAGAGCCATACAGGCAGCCCTTAGACCAGTGGTTCTCAACCTTGGCTGCACATTAGAATCACCTGGGAATCTTTTTAAAATCCTGATTTCTGGGCCTCATCCTCCGGAAATTCTGTTTCTTTGTTACTAATGTTGTGGCCTCACCCCATAACAAAGAAACAGAATTTCCGGAGGATGGGGCCCAGAAATCAGGATTTTAAAAAGATTCCCAGGTGATTCTAATGTGCAGCCAAGGTTGAGAACCACTGCCTTAGACTTTACAGATAACCCTGATGCTATGCCCATTTTTATAGATGAGTAGCCCGAGGCTTGACAAAAATAAGTAAATATTTGGTGAGAACAGCCAGAACCGGAAGCCAGGATTGACCAATGCTAAAGAAATGGAGTTCTCCTGCTCAATGGTGCTGGACCTGCAACTGCGGCATAGGTTATACTAGCACGCGGTCCCACTAGGTGCACGGTTACACTAGCAGGTGGTCAGTGTGCATCTCGCTGGCTGGGTCCGTGGAGCCCACTGACCTTGGGGGAGCTTCTGACCCTGTCTGAATGCCCACTTTCAACCCCAGTTAGCCCTTAACCCGCAACACAGGGGCTGCAACATTATGTAGGTGCTGAAATTCTTGCTCATTGAGCTGGGAAATGCCCCAGGAATCTGAGCAAGGGCCCTGTGGACCAGTCAGTGTCCTCAGAGTGCTTGTCAATCCAGAGGGACTCACTGACACGGGGAACAGAGTGACAGTGGTGGGTGAGAGCCGGAGAGTCCTGTCCCCCGTCACCCTGCAATGGGGATGCTGTTGGCCCGGGGCACCCCACCCCAGGAGGATCCAGTCAAGGGTCTGCTCTGTCCTGCGGCCTCACCTTCCCGATGAGCTTGCCCCTCTTGTTCATGCAGATGTATTTCTCGCTCTCAGCCCCCTTGATGCGCACCCGGCTCCCAAAGGTGTCCGTCTCCACTATGAGCTTGGCTGTCATGAGGGAGAGACTTCTGTCTATGAGGGTTGCAAGCCCAGGGAGTGGAAGCCCCCCACCCCCCACAACCCACCTGACCTCCAACCTCAGGTGGGGAACATGGGAGGCCCTGACACAAGATCCGGGATGAACCAGGGGAAGCCGGCCAGGGGTGTGGGTGGCCTCAGGTGAAGGCTGGGCCTCACCGAACTTGTTGCCGTCTTCAGCGGTGGCGGAGATGCGACGCCCGGTCACCTGCACGTGCTTGCCGCTGGTCCGGCTGTAGAGCTGGTACTCACGGATCTGCCGCCGGCTCAGCTGGTCGGTCATGGCCCCCTGGTCCCTCACGTACTGGTTAAAATTAGGAGACGGGTGATTCTCCCCCTTTGCGGTTACCAAGGGAAAAATAGTGTCAATTTGCTTTGGGTGACACCACCGCTGGTCCATCCAGGGGAGAGGGGTACAGAGGTGAGTGTGGCGGGGCAGGCCATTTGTCCTGGGAGGTCGCGGTGCAGGGTGAAGGGGGCATATAGCCAAGACTTTCTCCGGCCAGTGGGTGAGCCAATCATGACCTCTCGGCTCCCTGTCCAGCCTGCAGCAGAGAAGTGCTGGCTGCGCAGGCTTGAGGACTCCTGGTGACAGAGTGCAGACTTGGAGTCATGACTCTGGGAGCTGGAGGGAGCCTGCAGTTCTGTATCTGATCCCCGTATTCTATGGAGGAGGTGCACAGGCCACACGGCTAATTAGAGACAGAACCCCGTCCTGCCTCTTGCGTGGAACTTGTCACCCCTCCAGAACTCTGGGCATTGGCTCTGTTAGCCAGGACAGCCAGGCTTTCCTCCATCCGCCCCGCTAGCCTTGAAGGACCCACCCCAGCACATGTGCACACACGCACATGCACACGCAGCGGCTGGTCTGTTAGGGTCACTGGCGAGCATTGTGGGGCTGTAAGACCCTTGTCTCTAGCTCTGCGGGCCCTGGAAGCATTTCTTAGTAGCATGTGGGGTCCTGACCCTGCTAGCCTTGAAGGACCCACCCCAGCACGTGCACACACGCACACGCACACAGCGGCTGGTCTGTTAGGGTCACTGGCGAGCATGGTGGGGCTGTAAGACCCTTGTCTCTAGCTCTGCGGGCCCTGGAAGCATTTCTTAGTAGCATGTGGGGTCCTGAGCTGTGCCCGCTCCCCTGCCTCTCCCCTGGATGCTCGGGGCCCTCAGAGAAGCCAGACGCCCTTCCAGTGTTCCTCCCTCCTGCATGGGTGCGGCACCTCCTTAGTGGAGGGAGGCCAAGGAGTTGCGAAGGTGCTGTCAGCAGTGGTCCAAGGGCTGTTCCCGTGAGGCCACCTGCCTGTGGCACAATGTAACAGAGGCTGGTGGGCATTGTGGCCAGCCATGCCGCCACCCACCCGCTCCTCCTCCTCCAGGCGGGGGGAGGGGCTCTTCCGCCCACACTGCCTGCAAACAAAGGCAGGAGGATACCTGGCTCTCCTTAGCCCGCTGCACTGAGCTGGAGGGACCCCTTCCCACCTGTGCAGCCAGGTGCAGCCTGACTGCATCCCAGCTGCTGCCACCGCCTCAGCGCCGCACCAAAATGCTTCTCTCCTTCTCTCCACCTGGACCCGTGGCCTTGCTGGGACAGCCTTTCCCGGTCCTAGTCCCTAAGGCCAACCCTCTGGACAGAGCTAGACCTGGACCGGCATCTGTTAGGGCCCCTCTCTCCTGGAGTGAGAGGTGGGAGTGTTGGCTTTGAGGAAGGGGAGGCGAGGGGGCAGCCTGAGGCTGACAGTGTGACCTGCTGGGGGTTAACCCTTCGCGCATCTGCTCATTTCCAACCTGAGCTGTCCGCAGGCCAGGACCCCAGCCCGCCCCACGAGCCTCCCTCGAAAAACCCAAGGCCTGAATCTGGGGCGGGAGACCTGCCTCCCTGCCAGGAGGAGGGGTCTGGCTGGCCCAGGACCCTTGGTGGGGTCCGCCTGCCCCCAGCCCCAGCCGCCTGGCCCAGGTTCAGGCCCTCCGCCCTTCTTGGCGGGCAGCCTCCTCCTGGCCGTCTGTTCCAGGTCAGGAGCAGAGAGGCCCCCCAGAGCCCCCTCCTCTCCTCATCCCCCTTCAAGCCCTGCACAAAGGCAGCCCCACGCCCCCCCACAGCCCACAGCCCACAAGTCGCTCTCCCCGCGGGACCTTGCCTGTCCCTTTCATGTTCCCGCTGTGGGGAACCTCCCCTTCCAGTGCAGCAGACAGCTGCTTGTCAGCCGGCCCCTCAAGCATGGCTGTGGTCCGGCCTGCGGGGCCCCCTCCAGGGGGGTGTGGGGGCACTTCAAGGGGGAAAGGACAGCTTTGCCACCTTCCTCGAATCCTGAATGGGGCCTCAGCCAGGCCATAAACACCAGGCCAGCCGCACCATTGTGCTAATTCCCCTTCCAGAACAGGTTGGGCCCACCCCCACCCCCGCCCGGCCCGGCTGGGGGCTTTCTTCTGGCTCTCTCTGGATGTGTGAAGCAAAAGGCCTGGAACGGGGGCTTGAGCAAAAGTGGGAAGGAAAAGGGGGGTGTCTCTCTCTCCCACCCCCCCACTGCTTCAAAGGCAGCCTCTTTCCCTCGCAGAGAAAAGGCCTTACCTTCAAAAAAAGTCCCCACTGGATATGAAGAGAAGCGGCCCCTGGCCTGGGAAAGCCAAGCCGTGTCCCCAGCGCGTTCTGGACCAGTGCATTTTAATAGCTGCACTTTTATGGAGGATCACAAAAAGGGACCAGCCTCGAGCTGCAGCTGGGCAGGGGGAGGTGGGCATGGGGGGCAGGCTTGGGTGGGGGAGCCTGGAGAAGCAGACCCTGAATCTTGTCTCAGACAACCCCTTTTGGGTTTGACCTCATTGTGTCTGGAGTCACCTGCCCTGGCTGGGCACTCTGATCCCATAACCCCCCAGGACAGCACCCCCCCAGGACAGCACCCCCTGGGACACCTGTGTTGGTGGGAGTGCGGTCAGGAGTGGAATACACAGGTGGTTTTGCATGGCAACCTGTCCTCTCAGGTACAAGCCTCACTTGAGCCATCACCTCCACCCTCTTCCAGCCACTCCCGGCTCCATCCCTCAAGTCTGTGTGGCCTCTGCACCTCGCCTTGGGGTGACCCAGTGTGGAGGGATGCAGAGCGAGGCAGAGACCCCAGGGGGAGCAGGGAGGGTCATGGGAAAGAACACTGATAAAAACCTCAGTCAATCCCCAAATCTGCGGTAGCCCCTTTCCTGCTCCCCTTCAGAGCTGGACCCCCTCACACCCCAGAGAGAGGCCAGAACCGGCCTCTGTCCAAAGAAAGGAGACTGCCCCTCCCCCTTTGGTGGGTGGGAGACATGGGGAGAAGCTCCTGGGGTAGGTTGCCTACCTGAGTTTGACAGCAGAGAATCAGTAGCTGCAGGCACCTGTGTGGGGACACGAGGCAGACCCAGGTGTGGGTGCCAGCAGCCAGCCCAGGGCGCACCGGCGCCGCCCCCGCCCCACCCGCCAGTCCGTGTGGGAGTCCCGGTGAGATTAGGGCTGCCGCAGGCTGGAGGTGGCAACAAAACTCCCGTTTGTCTGTCGTTTGTCGGTCGGAAAGGCCGGCACTTACAGAGTGAAGTTGGGCAGCAGGCGGGCGGCTTCCATCGCCGGAGAGGTTTCTTGGGGCAGTGGCCCCCCTGCCCCCAGAGTCGGGAGAAGATGTGGGCAGTCCCCAGGGTAGAGCCCCAGAGAAGCCAAGGTCTCTTCAAGGCACAGGTTTTCAGGGGGGAGAGGAGGAGAGACAGGGGAAGAGGAGGAGAGAGAGAGAGGGAGGAGGAGGTGGAGGAGGGGGAGGAGGGCGTAATTGGGAGACTGAGGTGTGATGTGTCCACCTTCCCGGCCAGTGAGACTGCAAAGCGGCCACCGGCGGGGCTGCCAACCTCTGGGGCTCCCAGCGCAGGGGCTGGGGCTGCTGGAGCCTTCTCAATAGGAGGCTGGCCTGTGGGCTCTGACCCCAGCGGGAGTGCCCCTCCTCCCCTCTGTGGGCCAGCTTCTCCCGCCCGGGTTCGGTGCCCACTCCCCACGGGTGAGCAGCAGGTATCTGCCTGAGGTGGTGGGATGGGAATTCCCAGAAGCAGCCTCAGAAGGAGGAGCCTCCCTGCAGGGAGGGGTGGGCTTGGCCAGGACTGCGCCGCCACTGCCTGGCTCCCCCTACCTGTTCTCTGGCCACTGGGAATGAGGGGGTGACTGTCCTGGCCCGGGGTGGGAGGAAGGGGGGCTGGGGCCGGGGAAGACCCCCACGGAGTGCGGAGAGCTGGCCTGGGGTGGGGACAGAAGAGCTGGCTGCTGGGCTGTGGCAGCTCCTCTGAGAGATGGGGACAGTGATGCCCTTGGAGGACCCAAGCAGATAACTAGTGGGCGTCAGGGGGCCCATCCCCCAGGGCAGCAGCCAGTCCTGGAGCCGCTGGGACCTGGGAGAGTGCCCGGCAGCCATGTCTCCTGACCGGGGCCCCACACCGCTCTGTGAGCCGCTATTGCCCCATCCTGCAGATGAGGAAACGGGCACGCTGGTTGGTCACCAGCTCAGAGTGACCCGGTCAGTGAATGGCGGAACCAGGGTTCCACAGGCCACGCGCTGTGTGTTCCGCACGGGACACGGGCTGTGTCTGCGTCTCTGCTCAGGGCCGGCCCAGCCCAGCGCGTCCCAATAGCCAGGTCTCCCCGCTCCTTCCCCACGGAAGGTGGTGATGGTGGCTTCGGAGGGGGCTGGTCCTGGGGGACCTCTTGGGGAAACCCCTCCTTCACTCACACTCAGCTTGGCTCCTGGGGGTCTCCCCGTGCCCCCAGGATGGGAAGAGAAGGGGAAAGGCTGGTGTGGTTTTATTTACCTGAGAGATGAGTGGGAGGGCAAAGCTCTCACCTCCAGGCCTTCTCACCTTCCTGAGCCACATCAATCCACAAAGCCGTCTGCCATCCCTGCCCCCACGGACAACAGGGACCCTCCGCCCTGTCCCCCTCAGCACCTGGCTCCCGCCCGGCCCAGGGAGCCCACAGGCCTGAGCTGGCCCAGGGAGGGTGGTGGGAGCCCCACCCCTGCACAGCTGGGGAGTCCAGGCTTGGAATCAAATGGGAAGATGTCAAAACTAGAAAGGCTCTTAGAGCTTCCCCATTCACTGATGCAGCCTCACAGCCAGTGAGGGGGGGCAGGCACGGGGGATGGGGCGGGTAATGGGTGTCCAGACTCAGAACACACCCAGCCTGCCCCCACCCACTCTGCGTTCGACCAGGCCCAGCCCCCTGAGCATTTCCATTTTCCACATTCCTCCCACCATTTGGGGCCCCATTTAAACTCTGCCTCTTCCATAGATACTTCCCCCATCGACCGCTCCACTTGGACTTGGTGCTGGCTCTGCCCTCGGGGGGCCAGTGCCCTGATGCCCACTCCCCACCAGCCCCAGCTCCCAGGTAGGGTATGAAATGCTCCCTCCTCCTGAGGAGAGGCACAGGGAGGAGACGGCTGGGGTTTGGTGTGGGGGGTCAGCAGGGGCACAGAAGTCCGTAAGGAAGGTGGGTGTGGGGCATTGCACCCAACGCTATCTGGGCACAAGGCCTCTGAGCCTGAACCCCAATTCCTATCAGTGGGGGAAGAGCCTGCTGTCACTGGCCAGCCCCTAGCCCAGCCCGGGTCCCCATGGTAACAGGGGCCAGCAGTCCAGCTTGGCCTTGGGGTCCAGCCAGGGCACTGGTGCCAGGGGGCTCTGGGGCATGGCTTGCTTCACGGTGTGACATCTTCTGCTCCTTGTCCCTTCCCATTCCACACCTGCAGGCTTGGCTTTTACGCAACTTGCTCCTTTACCGCCACGGAGAGGCCAGTGGTGGCCCCAGCGGGGAGGCAGCATGGAGAGTGGTCCAGGCCTGGCCTCTGTCCCATCTCCGGGCCTGGCCGCTCTAGGCTGTGGCTGTGTGACCTGTGGCCCGTCCTTCACTCCTCTGGCCTCAGCTTCACAGTTTATAAAAAGGAAACAACTGCTATGGATGCTGTCAAATTGTCACTGGGATGAAGGACACCCCCTGGGAAGCATCAAATATCCTCACAAGAATGGGGGAGGGGAAGGAGACCCTCTTATGTGGTCCAGACTCAGTTTACCTAAACGTTGCCTGACTTTCTCCCTTGACCAGAGGGAGCTGGGAGGAGGGGAGGACAGGGTTCATTAACATTTATTGGGGGGGCAGCAGGAGGTGATAGGGGAAGTGAGAAGTAGCCTGGGCTGCACAGTGGTTAATCCTCACTCCCGAGTGACAAGTTCGATGCCCCCAGCTGGGATGTCTCACACCTGTTTGTCCTGACAGCCCAGCTGGTGCAGACACAGCGCATGCGTGCACAGGGCCCACCTGCAGACCTGCCGCCTGCCCTCCTGCTTTGCCCCCACCCACACTTTTCCTGTTGAGACCCTGAGGCGCTGGGGTGAGGGTGGGGCCGGGGGAAGGGCCCTCGGCAGTGCAGGTAGACCCCATCTTTGCTCTGTGACCCCTACTGCCTGCCCCACAGGGAAGTCAAGCTGGCAGCAGGGTAGCTGTTGAGTGCCCTTGTGCGCAGACCCACGGCTGAGCCGAGGACTGGGGAGAAGTCCTGCGAGACTGTGTGCTGCCTGCCCCTCCTAGGGCTGCAGTGTCGCAGGCATTCTGGGCTCAGTTCTGGCTCCAGCGCCCAGTTTATGAAACTTTTGAGCGCCGGGTGCTGCCTGCCCCTGCCCCGCACCCACAGGGTGGCTAAAAACAAGGGCTCTGGGGCCAGACCACCTGGGAGTGGATTCTGGCTCCTCCACCAGCTGTGTGACCTTGGGGACACGTTGTTTAACTGCTCTGTGCCTCACTCTCTACACCTGAGAAATAGGGCTAATTACACCCACCTCCAGGCATGGCTGTGAGGGTTAAAGGAGCGAGTCCTGTAGGACAGAGCGGTGCCCGGCTCACAGGGTCATCACTGCAATCGGATCAGTCTTCTTTCTGCCCGAACCTCCAAGCTCATTCTGCCGCAGGCCCTTTGCACTCTCTGTTCCTGCTCCCAGGACTGTCCTGCCAGCTCCTCACTTGGCCGGCTGTGCCCTCACTGTCAACCGCTCCCTCTGAGAAACCTCAGATCTCCTCACTAAGTGCTCTTCCACCCTGGAAAGTAGCCCGTTTTACCTCCTCCAACGCACTTGAAAGTAATTGAAATTATGTTGTTGGCTTTTTAAAAAAATTTAAATTCTTTAATTTAAATTCTTTAAAGTATTACATAAGTCTCCTTTCCCCCCATTGACCTCTCCCCGGCCGTTCCCACCCCCAGCACATGCCCTGACGCCCCTGCTGCCTGTGTCCATTGGTTATGCTCTGTTGTTGGCTCTCCTTTCCACTGGGCTGTCGGGTACTTGAAGGTGAGGACTTTGTCTTGTCTGCCCTGCATCCCCGGGGCAGGGAGCCATGGTCAACGCCGGCTGCCCACCTGGAGCCGGGCCTGAACTGTTGTCCCTTTTCATTCTGATTAATGTGAGGTCAGCGGCCCCGTTCTCATGTGTGGGCCCGGGCTCCCTTCATCCCGTGGGGTGTAGAATGCAAGCAGCAGGAAGGCCAGCCCGCCCTCTGCCACCTCAAGAGAATGGCAGAGCTGAGTGGGTGGCCCAGGCCAGGTCGCTGACCTTCTGTGCAGGTGTCCACAGCCCTCCTCTGGGACCCAGACCTGGGGGTCCTGGGAGACCGCAGGGCCAGCTCCCATCAGCCCACTGCAGGCCTGGCCACCGGAGGTGCTGGGAGGGGCAGGGGGCAGCCCAGCAGGGGCCCTACAAGTATAACCCGAGTCGGGGGCCATCTGCCTGTCACCATGGATGAACTGGCTCCAAGGTGGCTCTGCAGGCCTGGGAGAGGGCAGGAGGCTGGCCTGAACTGTTGGGAGCTGGGAGGAGGGGAGGATGATCCACGCAGGGTCATTCACCCCTTTCCAATCCTCCTTCGGTCTCAGCTCCGAGAGCTGCCCGGGGAGCCTAGCATCGGAGCTGAAAGTGCTCACCCGTCCACCTCCCATGGGAGACACTAACAGCGCCCTGGAGCCCAGTGGCTCTACCTGGGAGGGTTTCCTCGAAGGTGCAGGCCTCTGGGCTCCTGCCCAGCACAGACCTTCCCACAAGAGAGCAGGAGCTCGCCCTGAGCAGGACACACGCCTGGGAGAACAGCACTAGCTTGTGCCCCGAGGCTCCAACAGATGCACCCCCTCGGGCCGGTCCCACAGGCTGGCCCTTCCTGAGCCACCTCATGCCAGGAGCCGCGGGCAGCTCTGTCCCTAGAAAACAGGGCCTGCCCGAAGGGAGTGTGGGCGCAGGAGGACCCACAGCAGCGCTGGCTCCCTCCCTCAGGCCAGGGGCAGAGGTCAGAGCTGGGTTAGGGGCTGAGACACTTGGTTCTTCCTCCAAAGATGGGCGGTGAGAGGTGTCAGGACAAGAGAGGGCGATGACGGAGCAGAGCTGGCAGGGCCTGGCGCCCAGGGCGGATGTGGTGGCACACGCCGCCCTCTGCTGGGCACAAGGGCTCACTGCAGCCAGCAACAAGTAGGGCTCCTTGGAAGAGATGCAGACACAGGTCTTGGCAAAGCAAACTTTATTGTGTCCCTGAGGTTGGGGTTCTTCCCTCCAGGTCCTGCTGAATCCAGTGAGTTGGGGTGAGGGGCTCTTGTGTTGCCCCCCAACAGCTCCATCACCTTCAGACTCAGGTTGAGGGCCGGGGGGGATATTCCCTGGGCCCACAGTGCATCCCAGGAAGGCCCGCGGTGCATGGTGGCCAGGCAGGCCCTCCCCCATCACGGAGGCCATGCACTCCTGGCTTCTCATTTCTTGGGTACCGGCTTCCTTACTTTGGGGGTGTATCTGGCCTACGGAGGGAAGGCAGGGCTCCAGGTCCTGGCCCCTCCCCAGAGGCCACCACCTCCCGGGAGGACCAGCCCCGCTATGCACTCACCTTGTTCACAGGGCTCTTGCCTTTGAGACTGGGTCTGAAATGGGGGTGGTGGGTGAGGAGCAGGAGGAGGGTGAGGGGGAGGGAGAGCTCAGCCTGGGGCCGCAGCCCGGCCCTCCCAGTGCCCACACTGCAGAGCAGGAAGCAGGGCTGTGCCCTGGAGTTCTCCTCTCCACCTGTCACCCTCCAGGGGCCACTCTGATTCCCCACCCTTTTTTTTTTTTTTAACAAAGATGCTTTTTCTTAGGCTTCCATCTGCTCTCTTTCTTTTACTTACCACAGACATGTCCCTTTCATTATAAAAGTAATGGTAACCATATTGCACAAAATAGCAAATAAAGAACAGAATAAACTACTTATGTTGTTTACCTCCCACCAACATTAACATTTCGGTGTATTTCCTCTCGGGGTTTTTTTTTTTTCTTCCTCCTAAACATACTAGTATGTGAAATAAAATGAAAGCGACTTAATATCCTGCCCTTGTTAATTCTATCAGCACGTCCCAGGTCGCTATCTTCTTCACAGGCACATGCAGCAGCCACTGGGAAAATGCTCTGCAGTGGAACCTGTGCTGCGGCAGCATTCAGAACGCCCCGTTCCCACTCGTGGTTCAGTCACCAGCGAGCGGTTTCTCAGCGCACACAGTGCTCCCCTTATTCTGGACGGAATCCTTGGAAAGGCATTGCCACAAGGGGAACTAGGTCAGATTATAAGCACGGTTTCATGCTTCTCAAAAAGGTTGTGCCAACCTCCTGCGGAAGACGCCATGTGCCCTCGGACTTATACACACGCACGCGCGTGCGCACACCCGGCACCAATGCCCTTTCTAGCACCGTATACTTCGCCCAAAGAGTTCGGCCAAGTTAAGAGATGGAAAGAATTACCTTGCCGCCTCCTCTTCTTTTTCCACTTTTTTTTTCTGGGAACCAAACACAAGCGTCATTGGATGGTTAGGGTGAGGGCCTGAGCAGACCCCGCTGGGCCCCCACCTCCTGCACACTCAGCCCAGGGGCCTGGCCAGGGTCCCTTCCCTCACCTTGGCAACGCTTGTCTGCTTCTGGGACGCCAGCCTCTTGCCTTTTTTGACAGGGGTCTCCTCTAGGGACACCTCTTCATCATCATCGTCGTCATCGTCATCATCTTCCTCTGACTGCTGCTCCTCTTCCTCCTCCTCTTCCTCCCAGGAGAGTTCTGGAATTTCTGCACATGGGAGAGGAGAGGTGCCTGGGGGAGTCCCCGCAGGGGTGCAAGTGTCTGCCTGCCTCCCTGGGAAGCCCTCCTGGCCTCCCTGACAGAGTGGAGGCCAGGAGGTGGGGGGAAGCGGCCTTGACAGCTCAGAGGGCCCGGCCTAGGGTGGTAGAAGGAGGCGGGGAAGGGCAAGCTGGGCTCTGCCTGGGGCGAGAGTGGGGGGGGAAGACTCACCAGGGAAGGAGTGTGTGAGGGGAGGAAGGGGAAGGTGGGGAGGAACGGGAGTAGTAGCTAAGGACTTCAGGCCTTATCCGCAGGGAAGTGGACGCTGCCGGGGTTTGGGGGCAGGAGAGCACCCCGAGGACAGAGGCCCAGCCGGACAGAGAAGAGGGCCAGTGAGAGGATATCAAAAGAGTCAACAGCACAGCGACTTGCTGGCCCATGTGACTGCTACAGCTACGTACTTCGCTTTAAGTTAACATTTAAAAAATATATATTTTTATTGATTTCAGAGAAGAAGGGAGAGGGAGAGAGAGATTGAAACATCAACAATAAGAGAGAATCATTGATGGGCTGCCTCCTACACACCCCGCACTGGGGATCAACACCAACCTGGAATCGTGGGAATCTAATAGTGACCTCCTGGCAATAGGTTGACACTCAAACACTGAGCCACGCTGACCAGGCTAAGCTAACACGTTAAGTGCATGCTAGTACTGGGTACCATGCTAACTGCTTTTCCTGAACATCCCATTTATTCCTCACAGCTAGTCTTTGTAGATGAAACCTAGTACACCCCTACCCTCGTGTTCCAGGTGAGGGGCTGCAGCACAGGCACGGTGCAGGGAGGTGAGGTGCAGGGAGGTGAGGTGCAGGGAGGCGAAGGAGAACTGGGGGTAGAACTGTGCCTGTGGCCTTCCTGCCCAGGCTACTGGCAACCGTGCTGCCTTTGGGGATTTTCTCTAATCACTCAGGAGCCCTCCTCTGTTGGGGTGTTCATTACGTCCCTGGCCCTGTGCACCCTCAGACCTTCCCCAGGTCCAAGCTCAGACTTACCATAACATTCCTGGCCACTGAGGAACACGGGTCCCAAGCCAGCCCGCAAAGGAGACCTGGGGGTAGAACTGTGCCTGTGGCCTTTGGGGATTTTCTCTAATCATTCAGGAGCCCTCCTCTGTTGGGGTGTTTATTACGTCCCTGGCCCCGTGCACCCTCAGACCTTCCCCAGGTCCAAGCTCAGACTTACCATAACATTCCTGGCCACTGAGGAACACGGGTCCCAAGCCAGCCCGCAGCTGAAAAGTGACTGGAGGAGAGAGCTCCAGGCCCATCATGACCTGCAGGCAGAGGGATGTGGGGGCAAGAGCAGAGAAGACAGGGTTGCTCGGGCACCCCCAGGCTGGGGGCTGGCCTCCTGCAGAAACACTCAGAGTTTACCCCCCAAGCCCCAGCCGCGGAGTCACTGCGCTCGGCCCTCCCCCTTTCTGCCGAGGCGGACTCTGGCGGAGAAGAATGCGAATCTGACCAACTCATTCTTGCTAAGATCTCAGATGAGCTTCCAACCAACCTCAGGGGCAGCTGTTAGTAGAGAACTCTTACAGACTAAACTGTGTCTCCCAAAGTCTTATGCTGAAGCCCTAACCCCAATGTGATGGCATCTGGAGATGAGGCCTTTGGGAGGTGACTAGGGTGAGATGAGGTCATGCGAGTCATCATGAGATTAGTGTTCCTTTAAGATGAGACTAGAGAGCCCCCTCCTGCCTCACACCCCCCTGCCCCCATGTGGGACAGAGGAGACACCGTGTAGAAGCTGGGAAGAGGGCCCTTCCTAGGACCTGACCATGCTGGCACCCTGGTCCCACACAGACTACGCACGAATCATATGAGCAAAGCAGATGCAAATCTGCATGTGCAGGGGGACTTCTGTCTTATAAGTTACATGGGAATATGCATATGAATAAAGGTTGGGAAAGATGAAGTGCTAACCATAATTTTCAGTGGGTAGTACAGAATTTTAAAAAAAAATATTTTCCCAGACATTCCACAGGAAGCATTTTACCTGCTTTATCTCATTTACTCCACACCCATGGAGGAGGTGCCATTACTTTACAGAGGAAATTGAGGCTGAGAGGGATTCACTTCGAGTTTCTGGTTCAGACAGGGAGCAAATAAGCAAAAACAAACTCTGCAGCACCAACACCTAGAAAGGCTGAATGAAATGTAACCCAGTGTTTTCTCTGCATGGCTGAATAGTAAGAAGAAAGGAGAGTCCCCAGGCATCAGACGTGAGGCAGCCTGTGCGAGAGCTGCTCTGCAGCAGCTGAAGGAAATGCACTGGAGATAACATGCGTGCGCGGACGGGGGCCCACTGTACGGAGGCCAGCACCCTCGAAGGGCTGCACCTCAGTAAAAAGCCCCAGCCTGAGGCTCGAGGGGAGGGGACTAAAGAACCCCAAACCAACAGGTAGGAACTACACACCACCAGAAAAAGGTGATGGGATTAAGAAGCACAAATTGGTTGTCACAAAATAGTCGTGAGGATGTAAAGTACAGCACAGGGAATACAGTCAATAATCCTATATAATAAAAGGCTAATATGCAAATTGACCAAATGGCAGAACGACCGGTTGCCATGACACGCACTGACCACCAGGACGCAGACGCTCAATGCAGGAGCCTGCCCCCAGCCTACAGGCCCCAGGTCAGCCAAAGCGGGTGCCAGCAGGGGGGCCCCCCTCCCCACCTGGTGAGCGCAGAGCGGTGGCGGGAGCCTCTCCTGCCTTCACAGCAGCGCTAAGGATGTCCAACTGCCAGCAGTCAGACATCCCCTGAGGGCTCCCAGACTGCGAGAGGGCGCAGACCGGGCTGAGGGCCCCCCAAGTACACGAATTTTGTGCACCAGGCCTCCAGTGCTGTAATAACTATGTATGGTGCCAGGTGGGTACTTGGAATGTCATGGGGACCACTTTGTAAAGTACATGATTGTCTAACCACTACACTATATAAATTGAAATGAAAAGAAAATATTAAATGTCAACTATAATTAAAAAATAAAACTTAAATTTGAAAAACGGTGTGGCTTGGGCCATTTTGGAGAGTTACTCAGTTTTTCTGGGTCTCTCCCAGGTATACAGGAGATATGCATGTTATTAAACTTCAGTTGTTAAAAAAAAGAAAGAAACTACACACCACCACAGAAAGGCAACAAGGGACATGCTGGCCGGGATAGAGCTAACACCCCAGGATGCACCTGTTGCTTGTCTGCAGTCTGGATTTGCCTGGTGCGGACAGCCAAGCTGAGAAACCCACCTAAAATCCAGGGCTTGTGATGTTCCTGGGGAAAATGGCAAACACAAACACAAAACTACTTTCCATTCTTTTCACATAGAATTTTTTAGAGAAAACAAGACAATTCGCCGTCTAAAATTACAAAACAGCCCTGGCCAGTGGGGCTCAGGTGGTTAAGCATCGATCGCCCTCCTGTGCATCTAAAGGTCTGTGGTTGGATTTCGGGTCAGGGCACAGGCCCGGGTTGCAGGTGGATCCCCAGTAGGGGTGTGCAGGAGGCAGACTATCAATGCTTCTCTTTCTCTCCCTCTCCATTCCTCTCTAAAAGAAAGTAATAAAACGAAACCACCTTCTTTAAAAAAATAAATAAAATTGCAAGCCATATAAGAAGCAATCCTGCATCAGCAGAAGGAAACAAAATGACTGTCACGAGCACAACCAGGGGCCTGAGGTCGGAGAATAACAATCCGGACTTCTAGGAAGTAAGGCTGATGAAGACCAAATAAATATAAAAACAGGAATCAGAAACCTAAGAACAATATGTTGTGAAAAATAAAAAAAGAACCAAATGCAGTCTCTATACATGAAAAAATATAAGCGTTGAAACAAACTGAACAAATGTTTAATAAAAAGCAGAATAAGCCAGCTGAAGCCGGAAGGTAAACTGGGAAACAGCTGTGAAGAAATTACCCAGAATGCATCACAGAGAGACAGACTAACAAAGTCTGAAAGAGAAGCTGGGACACGGAGGACAGGATGAGAAGACCCAACATGCATCTGATCAGACTAAAGGGCTGGAGAGAATGGAGTCAATATTTAAAGTGAAAACCACCAAGCCTAGCGGTTTGGCTCAGTGGATAGAGCGTCGGCCTGTGGACTGAAGGGTCCTGGTTCCGATTCTGGTTCTAGGGCACATGCCTGGGTTGGGGGCTCGATCCCCAGTGTGGGGCGTGCAGGAGGCAACCGATCAATTAATCTCTCATCATTGATGTTTCTATCTCTCTCTCTCCCTCTCCCTTCCTCTCTGGAATCAATTTAAATAAATAAATAAAAACTTAAAAAAAAAAGAATATGGCAATTAAATTGAGAAGGAAGAAGTGGCTACAACAAGCAGTGGTGAGCGAGCTAATTGGTGAACAAAGAAAAAAACGTAAGTGAGCATTACCGTAAAATAAGTTAGTACTGGTAATGACTAGTGTTGAGTGGGTTTAAAACAAGTTGAAGCTAAAACACTACATGACAACAACATGTAAATGAAGAAGAGAATAATCAGAAAAGCTTCCTGGATAGTTTGAGAGGAATAAAAACATTAATTTTTTACTTTGATCATGCATGATTGCTAAAAAATTAAGGACAACCAATAAAAATCAGAATGGGTTCTGTAGTTTCCAAACCAGTAGAAAGAAAAATGGGAAAAGAAACTGTAGTCAATCTAATAAAAGACAGAAAAAGGAGAAAAAATAAAATATATAAGAGCAAGGAAAGTAGAAGCACAAAGTACGTCTTACAAATAAATCCAAGCATATTAGCAAACACAGTAAATATAAACAGATTCTACCGGCCAGATAGACTAAAACAAAGTCTAGCCACATACTGATTGTAAGATACACACCTAAAACATAAGGTCAGAAATGTTAAAGCAAAGAGACGGAAGCATATATTTAGATGTGGGGGAGATTTTCACTTGCTTATCCAATATCCATTCTTCCTTTCTTGCATAACAGCAATGCCCTGTGATTATTCAAATGTTGTACCCAGCCAAAGACTGCATCCCCCAGCTTCCTCTGCAGCTATGAATGTGTTACTAATTTCTGGACCGGTGAGTTATAGGCAGAATTTCGTGGTGGTACTTGTGCAAAGACTCCTTAAAAGTTGGACAGAGAACTGAGAAAGCCCCTTGGCCTTCCCTTGCTTCTCCTTTCCTATGACCTTAAATGCAGAAGTGAGGGCTGGAGCTATGGCAGCCTTCCTGGACTGTCAGGTGATCTTGAGGATGGGAACTCTGCACTAAGGATAGGAGAGAGATAAGAGGAGACTTGGGAACTCTGCACTAAGGATAGGAGAGAGATAAGAGGAGACTTGGGCTTTGGTGAGCACGGAGCCATCTCACCAGCCCTAGACTGCCCATCTCTGGACTTCTATGCAAGACAGAAATAAATCTCAAATTTGTTTAAGCCCCCATGGTTGGGTCTTTGTTATTGCAGCCATATCTAATGAAAATGAAGCTAGTTGTACCATCTGGTGAGTGATATGGATAATGGGGGAGGCTATATATATGTAAGGAGTAGGTGATATAGGAGAAATCTTTGTACCTCCCTCTCAATTTTATTATAAACCTGAAACTGCTCTAAAAATAAAAAAATAAAGTGCTTTAAAATTGAGCTAGTTGTAGTTGTTAGCATTAGATTTGGTATCAAGTGACAGAAAACTCAATAACAGTAGCTTACACAACTAGGAGCTTGTTTCTTTGACATGTAAACTAAGTCCAGATATAAGCAGCTGTGGGCTTCCTGCTCCTCAGTCACCAGGGACCCAGGCTCTCTGTACTGTGTAGCTTCACCAACCTCAACACATGGCTTCTACCTCCTGGCCTAGATGGCTGCTCAGATTCTGGCCATCACGTCCCCGTTCCAGCCAGCAGGAAGGAGGAAGAGACGAAAAACAGTCACATGATCTGTTTGAGGACACGGCAGATGCAGGAGATACCACTTCTGCTTACATTCCACTGGCCAGAACTTCATTGCCATGCCAAACTCAAAAGCAATATAGTTTTCATTCTCAGTAGCCTTATGGCCAGCTGAAAGTCATGAATTCCACTACTAAAGAAAAGGGAGAGTGGATATTGAGGGACGACTGGGAAACAAATTAATATCATATGACTTAAGCTTTAATTCAATAAGTACTTTAGAGATAAATATTCAAAGTGATGAATGCCAAGAACCTACAACCAAGATTACTTTATCCAGCAAAGCTATCATTCAGAATTGAAGGTCAGATAAAGAGCTTCACAGATAAGAAAAAGCTAAAGGAGTTCATCACCACTAAACCA